TCCATGACCTGTCGAACAGTGCTCCCCAAGGGTCCATGACCTGTCGAACAGTGCTCCCCAAGGGTCCATGACCTGTCGAACAGTGCTCCCCAAGGTCCATGACCTGTCGAACAGTAGGCAGAAAACAAGTACTGGGCAGGGGGAATCTCTCCAGCCTTTCACTTGGTGGCCATGAGGCCTTAGCTTGGGTTCCTTTATGGAATAGGCAAATGATCTCAGCATTTTATGCTCCTTCAAAAAGTTTCCTTGGGTTCTTTGGTCTGGGTATCAAGGCCCACATGATAACATTTGCCAAATTAGATTGCTGGTGCATTCCCTACTATAGAAATAAATCGATGTGTTGTAAGAGACTAGGAGAGAATGAAGAGAATTTTGTTGGTTTTAGTTTGTTTATGGTATGTGGTGATATTTTATTTGTGCTTTAATAAATAAAATTTGCCTGGAGATCTGAGGAAATAGCAAGCCATTTTAAATAAACAAAGAAGCCAGACAGTGGTAGCACACGCCCTTAATCCTATCACTTGGCAGGCAGGGTCTTTGTGTGTTCAAGGCCACACTACGGAACAGAGCCAAGCGTGGTGACACATGCCTTTAATCTCAGTACCAGCCATAGAGTTCTGGAGGCCTGTACAGACAGGAAGTGACAGAGCTGGCCAGGAAGAGGAAGTGATGTAGCTGGACAGAGAGTAAATCAGATGGCAGGACAGCAAGGCATATAAGCCTGGGTAGACAGGAAGTCATTCTCTGGAAGCTGTGGAGTTCATAAGGTAAGGTTGGCTAGTGGCTTTTCCTATTTCCCTGGTCTCTAAGGCTTTCACCCCTTTATTTGGCTCCATGTTTTTTACTTAAAAAGGCCATTTAGAAATCCATCTGCAATGGTGTGTGTATATGATGCATGTGTGAATGTGAGCAAGCAAGGCGGACCAGATGATAACGTTTCAGAGTGAGTTCTTACCTCCCACCTTGCTTTGAGGCAGGGTCTTTTTTGTTGTAGCTTGTCCATGGGTGTCAGGTAGTTGATCCCTAAGCTTCTGGGAGATTCCCCTGTCCCTGCCTCCCATTCTCCTTGAGAGTGCTGGAATTACAGATGTACACTACTGCATCCAACCTTTCACAAGGGTTCCAGAGTCTGTGTGGGTACCAGGCTTATGTAGCTAGTGCTCTTATCCACTGGGGGCATCTCCCTGCCCCAAAGTGAATTTTAAAAGCCACTTTTGTTAAGTTAAAAATGCTTCTCTAATTCAGAATTACTTATAAAAGTTAATTATCTTATGTTTTGGCTCATGAATGAGTTGTAGGTTTGTACAATCTTGGAATGTTAGCCGTCTTATGATTCCAGGATCTCTTCTTCCCTGGCCTGTGGTTGGACACATTCCATCTAGGCTGATCATGTGAATAATGTGGTTGCATACACATTCCATCTCAGGTTGGTCATGTGCACACTTGTGGTTGGAACATTCCATCTAGTTTAGTCATGTGCACACTTGTGGTTGGATATACTGCATCTAGGCTGGTCATGTGCACACTGTGGTTGGACACACTCTGTTTAGGCTGGTCATGTGCACACTGTGGTTGGACACACTCTGTCTAAGCTGGTCATGTGCACACTGTGGTTGGACACACTCTGTCTAGGCTGGTCATGTGCACACTGCGGTTGGACACACACTGTCTAGGCTGGTCATGTTCACACTTGTGGTTGGACACTCTGTCTAGGCTGGTCATGTGCACACTTGTGGTTGGACACTCTGTCTAGGCTGGTCATGTGCACACTGTGGTTGGATACACACTGTCTAGGCTGGTCATGTTCACACTTGTGGTTGAACACACTGTCTAGGCTGGTCATGTGCACACTGCGGTTGGACACACTCTGTCTAGGCTGGTCATGAGCACACTGTGGTTGGACACACACTGTCTAGGCTGGCCATGTGATGTGCACACTGTGGTTGAACACATTCTGTCTAGGCTGGTCATGTGCACACTTGTGGTTGGACACTGTCTAGGCTGGTCATGTGCACACTTGTGGTTGGACACTGTCTAGGCTGGTCATGTGCACACTTGTGGTTGGACACACTGTCTAAGCTGGCCATGTGCACATTGTGGTTGGACACACACTGTCTAGGCTGGTCATGTGCACACTGTGGTTGGACACATTCTGTCTAGGCTGGCCATGTGCACACTTGTGAATAGACACACTCTGTCTAGGCTGGCCATGTGCACACTGTGGTTGGACACACTCTGTCTAGGCTGGCCATGTGCACACTGTGGTTGGACACACTGTCTAGGCTGGCCATGTGCACACTGTGGTTGGACACACTGTCTAGGCTGGCCATGTGCACACTGTGGTTGGACACACTGTCTAGGCTGGTCATGTGCACACTTACTCTTTAGTAGCAGAAGCTACAAGCAGAGGCAGCAAGTTTTTCTTTCATGGAATTAAATTCATCAAATTCATCATTGTTAGAGATTAGGATGAATATTTTGACTGGCTTTAAATTCACCATGTAGTAGAGGTTGGCTTTGAACTCTGATCCCCTTATCTCCACCTTCCAAGTGCTGGGATCACAAACACTGTGCTGGTCTACTCAGCCATGGCGTGGTTTTGAAACCATGACAGTTGCGGATACGAAGTAGTAGAAGCTTCAAGTAAAAGAAACAAGGTTCTTAGGAACATCCAGATGTCTACGAGGGTGGCCTGGGACTTGGGTTTTGCAGTTTAAAAGTCATTCTACTGAAGGAAAAAAAAAGAACAAAAAACAAAACATGTTTTGTTTTACATGAATCTGCTCAGCTATGCAGTTTAGGAGTTGCCCAATCTGTCATTCTGTGGGTTTTCCTTCTACCCTTGAGATACAGGCTGTGATAGGGACAGGGATGAGTGGGAATTAATGGTTCTAGGTGCCCTGAATTCTGGCATGCAGAGGATTTGTATATGCCAACTCATTCTAATATGACTTCAAGCCTGTGAATGGAGTCAAGATGAAGTGTATAATGGTTAGTTTTATTTTCATTTATTTATTTTTTTATTTTATTTTATGTGTGTTTTGCCTGCATGTGTAAGTTTGTGCCACATGCATGCCTGGTGCCCATGGAAGCTGGAAAAGGGTTGTCAGATCCTCTGTGTGGGATTGGAGTTACAGATGGTTGTGAGCCACTATGTGGGCGCTAAGAAGTGCACCTGAGTCTGCTGCAAGGGCAGATGAACCATCTCTCCACCTCCAACAGTTAGTTTTAAATTAGTATCAACTTGCACAGCTCAGAATCACCTGGGAAAAGAGTCTCAGCTGAGTAACTGTCTATCAGGTTGGCAGGTG